AATACACATCTTATCATAGTTTCAATATGTTTTCAGACAAACCCGCCTAGTACCCGCACATTGATTTCCTTTATCTTGTCATATTCTGGATGCTGATTCCTCTCCATATTCAATTCTGCATTCTTTTCCAGAACTTCCATCAATCTCCACCACCCAGCTCGCCATACATCTCGAAACTGTGCTTGTCATTCACAATGACGTTCTGGACAGCCTCTCCATGCAGATCAAACATTTTCGATGCGATGAGCAGGCAAGACGGCACAGTGCCTGCCTTCAATGAATGGACCTTAGCCCCGCATATTCCAAACATCCATCCTTGACCATCCACCGCTCAAGAAATGCTGCAGTCTATGCCCAGGAACTATGATTTGCTCCATATCTGATGCAAGCTTGTCACCTTAGGTGAAACTCCGGACATGGACCGCGTAAAACCATTCGGACGACAAGGCCCCCGAACGAGGTCCAGTCAGATCTATTGGGTTATCCACATAAGTCAAGTTCTGTTATGGCTAGTTACAAATATCCCATGAACATCTCTGATATATGGGTGAGTCTGAAAATGATGGGACCCCCAATGGATAAAACAATCTGAACATCATATTTTTCCCACTGGTTCCCATCATTTTCTGGCCAAAAAAAAACTGGGTATTTCCATCCCTGCCATGCGACTGGCAGCTCTTCCTCGCGTGCTTTCAATGAAGAGCATCAGGTCGCTGATCGCCTTGCTCATCGAGGCCGGAATGGACAGGAAAATCACGACCTGTTCCGTTGGGATTTTAGGGTACTATTCATCTGCTGGTTGGTGGTATACCAATCCATCTGAAAAATATGAAAGTCAGTTGGGATGATTATTCCAAATATATGGACAAATAGAATTAATGTTCCAAACCACCAACCAGATCTGGGATTTTGGAGTTCTATTTTATCTTTTTCGGGCACTAGATTTTTTCATGATTTTTTCGATGATTTTTCCAAGGCTCAACTTCTCACCTCGCGATGACTCTGGAATCCCTGGTGATCCCCGGTGCCGTTTGTTTGCGCGCCACGGTCAGCTGAGCTGTCAACCCACTTCCCTCCATGTTGTTCATTGTAATCCTCCAAGTCGACACCAATGAAAATCACATTGGAAACCCGGACGAATATCCAAAAATTATCAAAACACAGATGCTGCCACAATCTTCCAGTAATTTATAGTTTTTTTTACATGGATGTCTATATATGGCTGTACTAGTTACAAGTGAGATCAGTTGTGAATCATTCGTAACATTTTTATATGCACCTCAACGCTGAGATGCTGAGCTCCTCTGCTTGTTTCTGGATGGCTACATTGGTCAGGTGCCTGACATCTTGCTTTGCTTTCAGCTTGCGGGATCAAAATTTCTTCAAACCATAGCCAGGACACACAAAGATGTTGTCGATCTCCGCAACATCTGTGCTATACTGCTCGACCTGACTACAAACTTGGTCAGTGGTGACCAATTTTGTTAAACCACTTTGAAGGACTGAAGAGTGAGCAGTTGGCACATGCTTTGCTAACAAGGCTGTGGCACAAAAACGACAAAAGCCACCACGGTACAAGAAGACCTGGCTGGGGTTTCAGCTGGGGTTTTCTTGTAATGTCACAAGATGTCACAATTGGAGATCCCGAGCTGCCAAGTATAGTCTATGACGGTGTATGTCGAACAATTGAGTAACCAGGTCCCAGGTTAGCGAATCCAACGATGTCAAATGGGCCCAGCAATTGATCGGCTTGGTTTTATTATGTTTTATTCCTGATATCAGTCGTGGGGCACACCTTTTCCACGCTGCGCAACGCTGTGCTGTGAAGGGAACGCTTTCCCTTGGCTGTGCCCAGCAATGGCCTAGTGGTATCGATTGTATAATTTTGTATATGGGTACTGTATCATTTCCTGCAATTCCAATGATTTCATTTCATCGTGCTCTACCATGTCTGGTCACTTCCCATCATTTGATGTCTCATTTCCTATCTGTTGCTGTGTCATTGCCTTTTTCTACGAGTCCTTTTTGCTTCCCTCAAGCACATCATCCAAGTCGGATGGCCTTAGCATCAGCTTCCAACACTGTTGTTGGTGAAAATGGGGTACCCAAAACGTCCAATGAACTATCACTATTCTCATCTATTTTCCCTATTAAATTTCAAACAAATCCATCTGATGCCGCCACAGGACAATTTCACTGAGAAGTTCTTGACGACCTTTCCATCAGCGTCAAGGAGAACCTGGCATATAGTCCATTATCGCAGCAACATCTTCAAACATTTTTTCGTCCACTGCAACAGAGACCAATCTGGGTTTGTCCAGACAGGGGACAGTATACAATGATCTGGGTAAATTATAACATTTCACTAATTTGAATTAAGGCCATTTGGGGATGATTTCCCTATAAAAACCATGATTCCAGGGTTCGGTCGCGACGTGAGGTCGGTGTAATTTACCCAGAATGATATACAATGCTATAATCCGATGGAATTGGGTGTGCTATAGCCTAAAATAAATGGAGACAAACGCATCTTGCAAGCTGCGCTGCGTGGCCCGTCCTTGTGCGGAATGTACCTATTGCATGCGGATTCATCAAAGCCATTGGATGATTGACAGAGATTCCCATGCTTGACTTCCCCATGATCCCCATCAATCTGCTGGAAGCTTGAATCTTGAATTTACCTAAACCAATTTAATCCCCATTGGTAGATTCTATGTACTGGTTCTTAAGTTTGAACCAATTGGCATACCCACAAGTTCACACTTGGATCAACAACGGGCTCACTTGAGGCCATATTCTGCTGAAGGCCGCCCGTGGCCATGCCAAGCATTTCCTGTTGACATTTCCATGGCCACGGCTGGTGGTGACTTGTCCAATTTCTGAAGATCTGGGGGTATAATCTTCCAAAACTCTTCAAACATGATATGGATTTGTCAAAAAATCTTGGGAAAACCATGAGGTCGTTAAAACATCTTCCATGGTTTATCATCATTACCATACTTCTCCCCATTAAAAGGATTTGAAAAGGCCATATTTGGATTGTCCCCATGTTCAGCCTCATATATTTAACCTCCCCACACCCTGACAGTCAACTGGCACAACGTGAAATTCCAGGACCTGGCAGTTCACGCTCTTTGGCGTACCTTGGACCGAGGAACAGGTCAGAAATTGAAACCCTGTGATGAAAAATTTTCGTCGACGCAATCGCGGATCGACGTAAACTGCAACACACACACACATACACAAACATAGGTGCAATATGTACATATTATGTATATTATATATATTTGTATATATTATATTATATATATATTTATTTAATCTATATATATATATATAAATATATTACATTATACACATATATTTTGTATGTATGCACAGAATCTATGTAAATATATACTATATAATTATATATAAATAAATATAAACTATTGGGAAGGAAATTGACAGGACCTGATGCTGGTGAAAGCGACGGATATTTCACCAGGTTGCTTTTTCGAATCATCCAAAGATCCCAGATTGACCAGCATGAAGTTGACCTGCCAGGCCGCCCCAGGTGAACAGGTCTTGCCGAAGTTTTTGGGTGTTACACCAAACATATGGGGTTTTCCATACATGGGGGATCCCCACTTGCTGGATGGTTTATCGATGAAAGCTTAGAAGTCAAACTTCCGACAACAGATGGAAAAGCAGAGGTGGGAAGAGTCAGAGAAGAGAAGAGAAGAGAAGAGGAGAGAAGAGAAGAGAAATGAAGATCAGAGAAGAGAAAGAGTCGGAGGAAAGAAGATGCAGGTGCGCGAAAAGGTAGCAAAGGGGCGACACACTGTGTTTTTCCGATGATTTGTGGCTCTGGAGGGTTGAAAAGTAGGCTCGCGAAAGCGGCGGGTGCGGAGCCATCTGGCCAGATGAGAGATGAAAAGTTGCACGCCGTTGTGGCCCGAAGCACCTGTCGAAGTCAAAAGTGTAAAAAAACTGACTGTTTCAGTCCATTTTTGGAAGTTGAGATGTCAAAAAAGTGCACGCTGTGTTGGAGCGAAGCAGATTTCCAAGTCAAAATGCACAAACCACACCAGGATCGGAACACTTTTGGAAGTCGAGATGTCGAAAAAGTGTACGCCGCTGTGGCGCGAAGCACATTTCCAAGTCAAAATGTACAAAACACGCCAGGTTCGGAGCACTTTTGGAAGTTGAGACGTCGAAAAAGTGAATGCCGCTGTGGCGCGAAGCACATTTCCAAGTCAAAATGTTAAAAACACCAGATGTTCAGACCAAGATGTCGAAAAAGTGTACGCCGCTGTGGCGCGAAGCACATTTCCAAGTCAAAATGTACAAAACACGCCAGGTTCGGAGCACTTTTGGAAGTTGAGACGTCGAAAAAGTGCACGCCGCTGTGGCGCGAAGCACATTTTTCCAAGTCAAAATGTTAAAAGCACCAGATGTTCAGACCACTTTTGGACGTTCAGATGTCGTTTCGCGTGGCCAGCGCAAAGGGTTTCCTAGCATTCCAAAAACAATGGCAGGCGTGGGACATTTGAAGAAGATCTGGAAACATGCACTTTCCCTGGCAGGTGCAATACAAAAGACATGTCCACCAGAGATGTTGATTTCCTGGGAGGGGGTGCATTTTGGAGCATCAGATCTTCAGCTTTGGGAAAATGAATTTGTGTGATAGGTGCAGCACTTCGTATGCCCTGGCCTCACTTTTTCGTGGCAGGCACAGTACTTTAGACAGGAGGAGTGGAAAAAACGCAAAACGCATTTGTACGAGGCTGTCAGCTCTGCAGTCATCTTTCCATTTTTGAAGGAAGTCTCGCAGAATTGCTTCGTTTTTGATGTTGCCAACTTCAAAAATTGAGGAAATCTCGCAGAATTGCTTCCGTTTTGATGCTGTCAAGTTCAAGAATTGAGGAAGTCTCGCAAACTTGCTGCTCTTCTGATGTTGTCAAACTCAAAAGTTGAGGAAGCCTCGCGGAATTGCTTCGTTTTCAAGCTTGCAGATAGACAGGTAGACAGGTAGACAGGTAGACAGGTAGATAGGTAGATAGGTACGTAGATAGATAGGTAGAAAGATGGCTAGATAGACAGACAGGCAGATAGAGAGATAAGCAGATAGACAGATAGATAGACAGATAGATAACACATATACAGGTAGACAGATAGATAGTCAACTGCACTACAACTACAACTACAACTACAACTACATTGCACTTCGCTACACCGCACTACATCCTGCAGTTGTGAGTGAGGTGACCACTGCAACCACTCCAAAACTCACAACCACCTTTCGGTCCATCAGTGGATTCGCTCTGCCATCCATGCATCACAACAACTCACCTCTCCTATAGTTTCCTATCTTTGAGACTTCCGCCACCGCCTTGTGCGGTACTTGTACTATTGGTAATGAATGGAAAATCCATGAAAATCCTATTATATAAAATGGATGATTTGGGGGCACCTCATTTCATATCTAAACATCACTTAATGTATAGAGCTCCAAAGTGCCTTGTCCTTGTACTTTTCACTGCCAGCCAGCTCTTCAATTTGCTTCGCCTGGCAGCAAAAGTCCCTAAGAATCCTTAACATGTCAAAAGTTCCTTGTTGTTTGCTTGGAAAAGACGTGTTGTCCGAAATCAGTCTTGGTCTCGAGCTGCTGGTACACAAGCAGGACAAAAGTTCTGGTAGAAGTCAATCACCTGGTGTGTCCACAAAATCCCAGTACCTCCTTTGAAAAAATATGGAAAAACACACCAGATTCGAACAAGATTATACATACAAATTCAAGAATGTTTCGCCAGCATCATGTTCCATCAAAATGCGTGTTTGACAGGCCAGTCTTTAACAGTTGGCTCTGCAAACGATGGATTCAAACGCACGAGGCTCTGGCAGTGGGCTTCTTGTTCTTTTGTAAGAAAGCCTGCACACTTCTAGCTGCTACTGGCGCATCATTTTCAGCCCTGATTTTCCAATATGACTTGCCCAGTGATAATCCCATATTATCCCTACTAAATTCTATGAAAAAACTCTATTCAAAGTCTATGACATCAGCATTGAATCACCATGAAATGTTCATACCGTGGAGAGCTGCGTGCCTTCAAGCTTTGTTTCCCGGACTCATCCTCAACGTCAAAGTCAGGGGCCTCCCAGGCAACAGCTGCGAACCCAGGAAGGTGCGCAAGAGATTGGTTTCTACATGGGCGAACATATAGATAAAATATGTTAGATATAGATAAAATGATGAAATTAGATATATCTACATATATATATATACATATCTATATATATATATATACATACATGATCAAATTAGATAAGAATATCTATATCTTGTGATCTTAAATGACCTTAGACGTGTATGCAATGTACGAGTATGTCAATCATTCATCATAAAAAAGAATGACCTTAGACGTGTATGCAATGTATGTCAATCAGTCATCACAATAAAGTAGTGTAGCGATTTATCCCTTCAACGATCGCCTCCTTCCCAACCAACGCAGCGCTGGCAGCTTCTGTTTGAGCATCGCCGATCTTCTTCCTGGGATCGAAAAAAAGGGAAAGCCAACAACCCCATTCCGTTTATCATGCCTAAAGGTTAATCAAAACCACCCAACATAGTAAAATCATGTCAAATCATCTACAATACAATACTGTACAATCGGAATTGCTTGGACTGCGTTTCACAGCACATTCACCTGCACCACCATCGACCCGGGTCCAAAATCTCCAAGGTCAAGGCATGACAAAGAAGGTGATGGCCGTCAGGATGAGAGGCAGGAAACTCAAAACAGAACTTAGCGAAAGGCAAGCCATCTGAAGGTGGGAAATCCATCTGTGGCAAGTTCCCAGATTTCCCAGAAAACCGAGCGATTCAGCTTGAAGCGTATTGAACTTATTGAACCCTTGGGAACATTCCAGTGAGACAAGGGTTCATACTTATCATATTCACGGCAGGTTTTCTGGGCTATCCTGTTTATCATTGTGTTCTAAGTACATAAAAAGAGGTTTCCTATGGGAGGTGCCTCCAACTTCCATCCACTTAAATTTAGGATTTTCCATGAAATATATCAACCATCCAGCGATTGGTTATGGAAACCATTGGAACCCCAACAAAAATTCACGGCCAGCCGTGACCTTTTAATTGTCTGTCCAAGGAGGCGACTCAGGGACAATGCCTGCCAGCTTCGGGCAGAGATTCTGCGCTACGAAGAAGACACCAAGCCTCTCAGCGCCACCATGGTGCCATGGTCACCCCAACGAAACAGATCGATATTGGGGCTTTCGTGGGATTTCCATATGTCATGTGGGTACCCCTTAAAATGGTTGGTTTATAATGGAATTAATGGAAGAAGTTTGTAAAATTGATGATTTAGGGGTACCCCCATTTTAGGAAACCTCAATATGACTGTTGCCAACGAACTGTGACCTACAGATCCTACAGACATGTTGCCAACATTTCATCAAAACCTGCGACCTAAGGACCTTGGCTGAAAAAACACAACTGCGGCCAAAAAGCGGTGCAAGCTGCTCCATCTGGGCTGACGCAGTGTCAACAGTGGGCTGAAAACAGCACAACACCTCAAGATCTCTGGCAATTCAATGCCAATCGACTGCCTCTCTTGGACAGAATCACAAGATAAGAGTCACGTCAAACCATTTAAGCTTCCTCTGAGATAAACTTGCCGTACACACACACGTGCCATGAGTTTCGAACATGACACCACCTAAATGATCTACATGGTTGTGGTGTGTCATCCATGAAACTCGATCACAGTAGTATGGGTCGGTCAAACTCCGTTTTTTGTCTGGTAAATCGATAGCTCTCCTGTTGTCTCTTCAACCGACAATATGCCAGCTCAAAGGGGTAAGCCCAGGTACAATCGGAGCAAAATTCGGCGCAATCTCACAACATGGAAGGTGCCAACCGGCTCCTTTTTGGTGCCTTTGTTTTGGGGCACTCGAGCTAAATATTGCTGCAGGATGCTGCAGGAATCGTCCAGCCTTCAGAGTTTTTTGGTCAAAACTAACATGGCTGGACCATGGCTGGTCACCAGTAAAGCTGCAGTTTTTAAGGCCCACCTTCAATGGCTTGTAGTTGGTGACCAGGACATACAGCCTGACACTGATCAATCTGCATTGCAAATTCTACTGAGTGTACCTGTACTTCGCGGCAAAATCAACAGCAGCAGGACCCGATTTTTTCAGATGGTCTCAGCCTGCCCGCCTCATGTCGAACTTCTTGCCCCCCACAAGTAATGGATCACTGATGTAACCTGCAGCAATGATGCAACTCTTGGATCCTTGGAACTTGGATGGTCACTTGGACCCGTGCGTGAGATGATGTACGGTTCCCGAAAGGGAAGTGGCTGACCTTGTTGGTTTTTCTCCTGTACCAACAGGCGCAACAGTTTTGCTGCCCGAAAACAGGCGCAACAACTAGCAGCGCACAAAGCAGTCCTTCTGGCCAGGATTCGACCACCTTTTGAGTTGGTTCCTCAGCACCACAGCCGGCCACAAGATCTACAAGCCAAAGCAAACACAACGGAGCTGACGATCCCACAGTTTTGAGACCAGAAAAATTCCACGGCCCTGTGCTTTACCTCAGCTGCTGAAAGTAATAATCGCTGCTTCCTGGAATGTCAATTCCATCTCTGCGCGTCTTTATTCAATGCCACAAGAGTCTGTCGTGAGTTGCTTTTCTGTGTCCGAAGTCAATTCCACAGCTTCTGTCTGTTCGTAGTGCCTGTTGGTTTTGCAATCCATGTTGAGTTTGGACTCTTCCGAAACTCCTGCAGGAAGGATCTTTCACCGCATGTTCAGCCAAGAACTCTGTGTCAGAGCTGGGTCAGCCCAAATATTCCCATCCCCCTAACCCCCTAAAATGGTCCCACATATGAGTAAATCCCCCACTAAACCATGGTTTCTGCGGGGGCGTTTAATATTAGGGAAATCGACCAGACTCATGTCATCACCAATACACTAGGCCTGCCTCGACAAACAAAGCATAGTCGTTCGGAAGGGAGTAAGTCCTGGGTTCAAGCTCGAGAATTTTGAGGATTGCAACAAGCGCAGGAATTCACTGTATTGATCAATAAAAAAAGTATAACAAATAAATCTATATGATGGGTTCATAAATATGGGTACCCCAATAGCTGGATGGTTTATAATTTAATGTTAAGTGCAAATTAATAAGCAGCCCGGATTAATCAACACCCACATTCCAAAAAGTGTTTGGCAATACCAGTTTGGGTTGGTCCCTCCTTACTAATAAACATGTGCGACCACCCTATTAAACAACACCCTGCTCAGAAATCCAAAATTTGTGGTAGTCACGATATATGTTGTGTTCTTTAATTAATGGTTTTAATTGTGTTTCAATGGTTGAAAAAATACAGGTTCGAAGGGATGTCCCATGCCCAATCTCACCATCTCACCCCATTGGGAGGGAGGTTGCGACAGAAAAGAGAAATCTCGACCCATTGGCAGGCAGGTTGGTTGCTTTTTATGTATGACAAGCCCTAGTTTTTTCGTTGTGGGAGACTCTTACCTTCTAGCGGGGAGTTATTACTACGAACTTGGTATGAATGGAAAAGCCTATCAAAATTGATGATTTGGGGGTATAGGTGATATATGCATGATATACAAATATACGTAGAGATTCAGGCAAGACACGCTGGGACCCACTCCAACGGTACTCTTTCCTTAGCTTTGGATGCAACAAAGTACGCTTTCATGGTGCAACAAAATTATGCTTGCCCACCCCAACTGCTCGTTGCATGCGGAATGCATTTCTACAGTCAAATTGTGAAAAAAAATGAGAGCTCCTATTGAAAGGATCTGCAAAAGACATGTGAAAGATTGACCGATTCATGCTCTCCAGTCATTTTCTCCAGGCATTTTCCCACGCATTTTCCAAGCTTCAAAGCTTGCGAGATTTGGCTCTGATTGACCTCTCTTTCTTGGGTTCAGGTCCATGCCATCTGCCACAGCCAACTGCTCCTGGCTGGTGTCACCCCCAAGTGCAGTCCCTCATGAATTGAGTATATGTTCCAAAATTGGTGAGCTCTCAAACATCCCATTCGACAGTCTTTTTTAATATATGTCTAGCAATTTCTTACCCATATTCCAGGGACTATCATACTTCATGCCAAAACGGCTTGGAAAATCTAGAAAATTGCAAAGACCCCATTGAGGTGAAATTTGGGTTTCATGATGTTTGCCTGTTCCTGCCCCAAAACTTCATTTCTTTTTAGGAAATCCCGAAATTAGTGTCATTTTGCACCAAAATACCACTTGCGAGCACACAGTCATTGTTTCCCAAAAGGCAGACTGTCAAACCGTGGAGTACGATGACACCCTGGAGTGCGATATATAATTGTCTGGTATGCGAAAAAAATTATATAAGTATGTGTGGACCCCTTAAACCTTCCCAATAGCCCTACATTGGTACACCATTCAATCGTCTTTCACATACCAAAAAAGTTTCCCACTCTGCCCCGCAGACTCTGCTCGAGTGCCGAAAAAAAAAACTCCTAGGAGCAAAAACGGCATGGAATGCGATAGTATGTGAAGCTGCTGATGTCTCAGGTGGGAACTCCATCTTCCCCATATTCCAGAAAGACGTGATTCCGGACCATTTTAGCTAAGAAAATAAGAATATGAACTTTTGGCTAATTTCCGGAAAAAAATGAAATACGTTCCGTTGCCTAGTATACGATGATTTCGTGGAGTGCGATGATTTCTGAGTATGTGTACTCACCCGCTGTGCAGTGCGATGACATCTGTGGAGTGCGAAGATTTTGTGCGGTGCGATGATTTCTGAGTATGTGTGGCTGGTATAAAGACCGAATAAGGGGATATGTCCTTTAGGACCTTTAGGGCCACCACCAAAAGTTCCAATCCCAAAGCCAGCCCAACACCAGTTGTCTTTTTGTTTTTCGTTTTCACCACACGCAAAAATTCACACTCATGGGGCATTGGGTTCTCCATGACCCAACTCTTGCATTCAAATTTAGCTGAAATGCCTATGAAAGTAATATATCTAAGCCCAGGTCTGGAGTACGATGAAAACATATGAAAACATGGTATGCGAAGATTTTCTGAATATATGGGCATCTCGGTTCTAGAATATACATGAATATATATATATATATATTCTGTCCAAAAAGGAGGAATGCCATGAACATTTCATGGCATATATATATATATATATACATATATACAGTACTATATATACCCATTGATTTCTCGTCTTTTTCACCGCCCTTTGCGCCATGTCCTGCCGTTCTCGCTCACGTCGGTAGCGCTTGATGTTCCTTGCCATTAGGTCCTCGTTGGGACGGGAGCATCCCCAAGAATCATGGGTTTTTACGGTTCCACTATGGATATTGACTCCGAATTCCATACTATCCCCTTTAATCCATGATATGTTCATGAGAATCCTGTGGCACTTGGACGCAAATCTACACCACCAGCGCAAAACGACCGCGTTTTGGTCCTTTCTGGTAAGCTCATAGTGGTTGGGAAAGTGGTTCACAACCTGCAAGACACAACAGTTGCAGCAGCCACAGCCAATCATGCCGCTCTTTGGCAAGGTAGACAAAGGTTTGCAAAATCCAATCAACCTTTTACTAAGAAGAAACAATCGACACCAAGAAAAATGTTATGTACATCTCTGTACGATCTGTATGAAGGATATCAGAGGGCTCCAGGGTAGACGGCATGTGAAAAACAGCACTGTCACGCACTGTCTATCCGACCTGCTCCTCCTAGGTCGTAGAATTTCAAGTCCCAGTGTGGTGCTTATCATCATCTTCTCCGCCCGTTCAGTATCCAAATATGGAATCAACATGAACGATATGCCTTCTGGTGACCTTTCAGAAATGCCTACAGTAGGCTGCCGAAAAACAAGTCCTCTAGCTGAAATAATCACTTCATAAAAGCAACAGCTTCCAACCCACAGCTGGCAGCCGCGCGTGATTTTCAAAATCGAGGGCTACCTGTCTGTGGTTGGGAACCACAGCAGGGCCAAGTCTCACTTGCAAGTAGTGGCGGCAACCCAAATGTAGTATTGCTGCTTCCCGTAGTCACCATAGAAGTATCGCGCTTGACAATCACCTGCGAGCATGAAGCTGTTCCGGGGGTCTGAGACAATGGCATAGAGCGGCCAACCAAACTTCTCTTTGCCCTCTTTCTCGATGCAGTCTTGAAACTGAGTGATATTCTCATTGAAGCAGCCATGGATGACGTCGGCGATTGACTGGGAGTCAGCAACACTAAAGCCTTTATTGCGAGTAACGTATGGAGGAGAACGTGGCTTTGGGTCTTGAAACGACTCCTCGCTGAGGCCCTTATCTTCATGCCGAAGAGTTCCGCCGAGCTGAAGACAGATGGCGAAGATGAACAAGCTCATCTGTGAGGACATGTTTCAGAAATAGAGCAAACAAACGGATTTGGAAGAGTTGAACCAAACAAGCTGCTGGTGCGTCATGAAAATGTCGCTTCACAGCTTGTCAAAGGGCTGCTCAAAAGTTGGCAGCGGCACCAACCTGTTTACAACAGATTAGCCTCCGGTATATTTACGAGGTATATGCCCATATGCTCCATGGTGCTGGAATATCTACCAACATTTGCCCCATAAATGACCCAGTTTTGTAGGTAAATATACCATACATGGAGCATATGGGATGGGCTATGGTCATCCATCGAATCCTTGTAATGCCGGTATAGAAACACCGATGGGTTGATGACCATGCCCCACGACAATCGAACAGCCTTGACCATGGCACATGTGGAAATCCATGGAGTTACCGTGTGGGAAGTGAATTACAAATAAGCAATTGTCCTATTGGTATTCTGTTATTGTAATATACTAGGAATATAACATGAACATTATAACCATGAATATTACTATAGACTATATACCATTTATATATATTTACCCTCTGGTAAACTAACATAGCTACCTGGGGCACCCTGAAAAGAATGATTATACTTCATATGAACAAAAAGGGTTCTTTGAGCTGTCAAAGTATAATTATTCTCCCGAACGATCTTTGCACGAATTGGATAGAATTGGATAGATTTGGACCATTTTATAGAATGTTAATAGCAAGCTATTCTGCATTTGTTGGTGTAAATAGCAAGCTATTATGCATTTTCGGGGGTAAACAGCAACCTATTCTGGAGCACACAACAAGCTATATGTATGTTCAGGAAGATTATAAATCACCATAATCACCTGTATATGCAGCCAAGGCACATGAAATCCTTCATACATGGCAAAGAACAACCCATGTCATTATATTGGGGTACTATCCATGCACCCAAATGTTCAAACTGAACGATGATCTTCATGCATCCCTGGGGTTTTTGACAACCAACGCTTTTTCTTGACCTGCCAGCCGTCACCAATGGAATCAGGTGAAAATGACCATAGGTGAAAATGCCTGAACATGATGTTTAGGTTCCCATACATCCAAGCATTTTAATGCATGCATAGCATGGTGAAGAGTCATTTTTTCATTGATATTGAAGAACGTCCCAACTCCCAACTTTTCATCCATGATTAAAAAATGGAGTTCTAAAATGGTTGGAACTATACATCCCAATCAGCAATTTGAAATCGCTGTGGAATGCTGGATGGTGGCCTATGAGAGTGGCTGATCTGGACCGATGAAGTACATCAGGTGGTCCTGCCCTGCTTACCAAATGAGGGGAAGCGGATTTGGGGTGTCCATGCAATCATTGACCATCAAATTTCCAGACTATTGTCAGAAAAAATCGGGATGGCCTTCAAACAATCACATGACCATGCATGAGCTTCATTGGCCCAATATATGATGGACCACGATGGGACGATGGGACCAAACGCCATGCACGATGATGGTAGTGAGACATCCATCGACGCAGCAAAGCCTCACTAAGTCACATGCATTTCTCCTGCAGGCATCCAGTTTGGCTCTCTTAGGCTGATAGATTGGAGTTGGCCCCATGGGGAGGAAAGGGAAGAAGGCACCAACTAGGGCAACATCATCTAGTCCTTCATCGTCAAGCGGTTCCCCCACTGCTTCCAATGGATCATGCGCAGCCCGGTCAGTTTCCAGGGAGCGTGTGGGAAACTATGATCTCTCAGGGTTATCACGGGAATGGGACAATCATCCTGTTATCCGAGATCGCATCCGGGATGGGCACCACTTGTGTCGACATTTGGATGAAACCACACAACAGGAGATGGATGCTTACGTAGAATGTTCAATGGAAGATGCCCGTGTCAACAAGTTTGTGCTGTCTCCGATTATGGTGTTGATGAAGTCAAATGACCTACTTCTTCCCAACCTTGACAGACTGATTCAGTCAATTGACCTTCTGTACCACACTGCTCGGAAACCTCAATCTTTGGAGCATTCCTACCAGCAAGCCTGGTCTATCAGAAGGTTGATCCAGCAGGTGAAGAGCCATCTTTACAAAGATTTCCCCCCTCAGGACTGCAAATCTGGAACAACTCTGTGCATGTGTATGTTCTTGATGTTTCATGATTTTCTATATATATATATATGTATATGCCATGTATATATATATATTGCTCTGTAGTCTTCTTTGATATCCTGTTGCAGCACCTGCACCAGCTTGACCAACTGCTTAAATTTTATAGATTATATATCACTTATATGATTCAGTAAATAGCCTTTCCCATGCGCCGCCGCCACTCAGTAACATGTCCTCCAACAGCTATATCTGCAGGATGAGGACATTGCATACCTTGTCCGGCTGCTGGGCTTCGACTGCTCAGAGGAGGTTGGGAGGGGGAAGAAAAACTATATGACAATCCTCAGGGAAACAAAACAGAATCAGCATCCCTTTTTTAAGCATTTTTTTTGGAAATATACATCATTGACATTCCAGTATATGTTATGACTTTCCAGGATATGTTACATTTCTGCGACTTTGTTATTAGACTCACCCCAAGTACAAAATTTGATTGTGGGAAATTGGCATTACCTATATTAACTCATATGCTCAATCAAACACACACATATATATATATACACACATATAATCTATTCAACATGTTCATTCCATTGTCCCCATTTCAGGGCATTACCTCTAACATCCTCTAACCCTGCGTGCAGGGATGGAAGCCAATCAGACGGCCATCTCAGCCAGCTGGTGAGAGCCAAAATGTTCCAGCTCCCCCACCCACCATGGCATTGCCTGTGGAGCCTGCCCCAACAGAGCCTACCCCGATGGAAACCCAGCCTCATGCCCCATTGGAAGATTCTCAGGATGCAGGTTCTGATCTGGCCAGGGAAGCTGCGCTAGACAGGCAAATGGCCCAGGATTTCGAGATGGCAGGTTTGGTGGTACATGTGGCACCAAGTGCTGACAGCGCTCTACCCTCTGCAAAGGACTGGCTTGTTGCATGTTGGTCATAGAAAGTGGGCCACAAAAACCCTGGAGCCAACACAAATGGTTATATTAAAAAGACCTATATATATTATAATAGCCTTGGTTCATATGTCCTGGGCATTGTGTTTATTGGTCAGCCTTGGAATCAGGATGTGGTTGACATCTCTGATGATGATGGTGAGGGCCCGAATGTCCGACCAATGGGGGACTCTGCCGAGACAGATGCGATGATTCAAGCACTGCTTGATCTGAAGAAGAACCTATGTCCACAATATCCCCATGTAAATGGATTTGTTGCTGTAAACGTCCTCCTCCCCCAATACCGACCTTCAAAAAATATATCGAGAATTATATATATATAATATCTTATTCTCGAACCATTGAATTGGGTTTTTCATCTTGTATAGATGGGGAAATCCTCCCTACGCCCAAGGAAACATGAACAGATGACTGCGGAAGCACCCGTGCCAGAGCCCGGCCAGCCTGACATGTCTTCATCGTCCGCTCCAGCCAATCCTAGCCCAGGCCATGGGTTGGGGTGATTGATGGCTGAACCGGATACATGTTGTGTGCAGGGGAGGCTTTTCATATATGATCTCAAAATATCTCAAAGATATATATTATATAACCGACTTGAACAACAGAATATATCTATCTTTACGAAACCCACATTTGTTGAGACAATATCATGTGCCTGTATAGTTGGTAGGGCATATCCATCAACAATTTACCCATTTTAATTTGTCGATATATATATATATATATATATATTATATATATATATGTTTATTTCTCTCTTGTTTTTGCTTTGGCCCACATCAGACCTCTCTATCTGGACCCCTTCAGGTTCCCCGCAGCTGGTTTGTGATTCTCTTCAATTTGGTGGAGACAATGTGGAGACCCAATTGCTATGCAGTCCATCATCGTTGATGAACACTGACATCGCCCAAGCCACCTTGAAGTCAGTCAATGAAAAGGAGGATGCTGCCCAGGTGCCAAATAGATTCATTGCCAGATATGATCATACAACATTGTACTATAGCATAGCTGGTGGCACCATTTAATTCCAGGCATTTCTTTATCAACCTTCCTCCATATATGCATGGCCAAAGGACAACATGTTCTTAGGTTGGCACAGAAATTGAAAATCCCTATTGTTACTTTTGCCAGGGCAACGTCGTTCAAAAAATATCTATCCATGATAAGTTCTATTTCCTCGCTGCTGCACAGGAGGAGGCACAAAGTAAGCTACCAGAAGTTCCAGATCTAGGCCAGCAGCAGCCGGCAGAGGTGCTTACTCGTAGGAATCAGTTCCGCATGAAAGCAGACAGAAAAAATAAGAAGCAAGAGAAAAAGCAGCAGAAAGCCTTGGAAAAGAAACAGAAACAATCGGAAAGGGAGGCGAAAAAAAAGGAAAAAGAAGGTGGCAAGGCTGAACGGAAAAAGGATGCTGATGCAAAGAAAATCAAGAAACGGCAGAAGAAAGACAAAGAAGGTTCCAAGCGTAAAAGAGGATGTCACCAGGCCAAACCAGAAGAGAAACACGAAGAAGAGGCAATCAATTCGGAGGAGCCTGTGGCAAACCAAAGTGACCAAGCACAGACAGAGCAGGTGGACGAACAAACAGTAAAGACTGATGAGATTGATGAAAAGACGGATGGTGCAACATTCGTTGATGCTGGTTCAATTGCCTTGCCAAAGCATGCAGTGGCACGCACCAGCCCCCGAAGAGGCAGCAAGCGTTGGAAGCTAAGGATGTTGAAGTCTCATGACAACCTTACAGGCTGCTGCCCAAGGCATGGCAAACGCAAGGTGGAGGAAAACACACAGGTGCAGCAGCAGCAGCAGCAGCAGCATGTGCATGCGGAGTCACCAGGCAAGAAAAAGCATGGCAGCCGAACGAAGAAGAACAAAGGGACCAAAGATATCCAGGTATCTGCTGTGAAGAAACCGCCCACAAAGCCAAAGAGCACGAAGGGATCAAAACAGCCAAAGGGTGAACCTGTGAAAGAAGCTGTTGACCTGATCATGGGTCTCCTCAAAGCATGTGAAGAAAATGAGT